GGCCCAGCATCGCCCTCCAGGACCCACTACACGGAAGTGGAGCATACATATTTGGAAATATGTGCAACATCCTTCCCCCCGATAGGACCTCACAGAAGTTGGAGCTCAACGCTAACTTCCAGGTCCCACCACACAGAAATAGATCACCTCTAAAAATACAATGAAATACAATGTGACAGATCTACTCCAAAGAAACATCATCCTTAAGATAGGACTGCACAAAAGTTGGAGTGCAACATCAACCTCCAGGTCCCGTTGCACTGAAGTGAATCACTTCTGTAAAATATATGCAACCTCACTCTCCAGATAGAACCACAAAGAAGCTGGGTGCAACATCAACCTCCAGGACCCACTACACAGAGGTGGAGCCCATAATTGGAGAATTTCTCACCATCAACACCAGCAGAACACCACTGGCCTAATCTCTACTGAATGAAAGTGATCACATTCAGGAGGATACCCCAGCAGCTCGGAACTGGAAAGTGACAAGGATTCCCATAATCCACTAGAAGAACAAAAGGAATAAATGTGGTGGAGAATTCAGAGGAACACCAACACCAAAGACAGTGCAATGGGTGACCACAAAAACCCTATATTAAAAGCAGACCACCCCTAATTTATTCAATCAAAGGGACTGCAGGGATGGGCAGCTATCCCTTTCTGCTTTACCCATGCAAGCCCATGGGTTATTACAGTCCAGAATGGGCATATTCATGAAGCAAATATATCACAAGGAAAAAACTACTAGCAATCTTGTGGAACATCCAATCTCAACAGTGAGCATTACTGGCCATGGGTATACTGTTTGTTTTTTCATCTTGGCCGTATAATGTAGATTTGAGATATAGGAAGCACAGCTAGACAGACAACGCTCACCACTGAGTGGGATCCAAATCCTAAATGGGATATGCCCCTGAAGGGAAAAGAATATATATAGAAAAGAAATCTTACCCACTCACAGCCGGACAGAAGTTTGAAGGATGGCAACAGGTGGAAGGCAATACCCCAATGAGGAAAAAACAGCTACCCAATAGAGATAGTGGGAGATGAATGTATGAGGAGTAGACCATATGCCTGACTGAAGAGTTTCTTCCAATGGATGAAGGAGGTGAGACTCCAAGAAAAAGGGAAAGTGCACCATATTAAGCAAAGACACTTGTAACAGAATTTGGGAAGAAACAGACAGGGAGGAATAGACCAATTGAAGCAGTTGACAATCCCAAATCATAAGGGTAGAAGAAAGGTAATGTACAGAGACAAGGTGCCAGGGAATGAAAAGGTGGAAATGAGAACCACTAAAGAAGGCCATGCAGACAATGGAACAACAAAAAAGCACATACTGGACATAGAAATCTATCGGGAGCAGACCAGGAATAAATGTGGGAAATGGCAAAAAGGAAGAATGACCCTTTGAAATGCCAAGGTTTTGGGGAGGAAAATCAATTCAGAAGAACCACACAATAAGGAGGTCAATGAATTTAGAAGGAATATAAATGGAACCAA